GCAGCTTGGGGTCTCCTTTGTTCTTCTAGAAGCTTATGAACTCTGTTTTGACTCTTAATTTGACCCATTTAGAAGCCTAATGAACTCTAAAGATAAGCCTAAGACTCCTTATCTGAATTAGGTAAAATCCCTTAGGCTAGAACAACCATAATTCACAACCAAAAACCCTAGAGGAAATTTTCAAAAAAATCCTTAGAAATTAGGTAAAATCCCTTAGGCTAGAACAAACCTTAGAAACCCTAGAGCCCAATGAAACCCTAGAAGCCCTAAGAGACGCAAGCTTAAGCCAATTACTCTACAATTTTCAAAGTTCAATTTATAAGCCCTAAGAAGACTATACCCTAAGCACCAAAACCCTAGAATGAACATACCTAGATACAAATTCTTCAGGAAAAGAGAAAGCAAAGGAATAAATCAACCTGGGCCTGATATGGGGTTCCATCTCCAGATCTTCAGGTATTCCAGGCTAACTAGCATGGGCTCAAGTTAGTTTCTTTTCTTTAATTTAATTCAATTTTAGTTTATTTCTATAGGGTGCAGTTTGGCTACCTAGCATGGGCTCAAGTTAGTTTCTTTTCTTTTCTTTAATTTAATTCAATTTTAGTTTATTTCTATAGGGTGCAGTTTGTATAGAGCCTAGTCTCTAAACAATCAAATTAGAGCCTACCTTCAAGTAGTGTCGAGAAATGTGGTTTCAATACTGGAAATTTTTGTAATAGTCTTAAAATATATTTTCATTTTTATTTATAACGTTTAAAGCTTCGAAATAGTGTAGATCGACAGATCTATGAAAACTTGAAAATCTTGAAAATTGACGGTCCAAAAATGCGTTACAAAATAGACTATTTCGATAACTTGGAATCTTTTTTTTTTTCTCATGTCAACGCTTCTTGATGTCGAGATTATCAATTTGAGGATATTTGGCAATCAAAACAACCTCTTCTAGTAAAATTTTTGAGGTAGGCTCTTATTTGATTGTTTAGAGCCTCTGTTTTATATAAACTTTTCCCTTTTCTATATCCTAGTTTCTATTTGGATTTTGTGTGATTTCAAGCAATTTTGCAGATAGTTTATGAAGTGAAGATCTATTCCTCTAGATCCATCTTTTTATATATTGTAATTCGACAGACCCTACATTGCACGATCAAAATTTAATTATTTAATTTAAAGCATAAATTGGATTTCTTCCCAAGATCTTCCCAAATTTGGTTGTAAAATACTCATCAAACAACGCAAATATACATCTTAAATATCCTTCATTACAATACCTAAAAATCATTATAATAGCCACAATATCTCTTTCGACTGCTTCGATGTGTAGCCTCGAACACTTTATGAGCATTATTTATCGATCACTACTCGCACATAACTCAACTAGGCATGTTCCCATGCAATCATCTTTCTCAGCGGTTATCATTTTCTTTCGAAGTATACTTGTCCATTGTCTCCATATTAGATTGTATTTGAAATACATAAAAAGAAATGGACCTGGTCCAATATCTTTGACATTGTAACAAGTGAAAATAGCCCTATATTTCTCTTTGACATTGTAACAAGTGAAAATATCCCTATATCTCTTATTTTTAAGTTTCATCTCTTGATAAACTCAACGTTTCAAAGATATCTTTTAACCCCTGACCACTTTAAACCTATTTTTTAACCTAAACAAATGTGAGAAAGATATGTTTTTTCTAAACCCAATATTTTCTCTCTTCACTTATATACCCTCAAACTTCTCTCTTTCTCTCTCTTCTTGCTTCTCTCACTCTCTCTCTCTCTCCTCGTGTGTTTCTCCAAACACATCTCTGTCCTCTCGGTAACCTCACACCTCCATGAAGCCCTTTTCTCTCTCTAGAAGTTTGGGAGGATGGATTTTAGAAAAAGTATATCTTTTTAGATTTGTTTGGCCTAAAAACAAAGTTTAAATTAGCTCAAAGGGTTAAAAGAAATAAAATCTATAATTTTTATGCCCCAAGATATCTTTTTAAACTTTGGGTCTATTGTAAAATAAAACCTAAAAATAAAGGGTATGAAGATATTTTCCCTTGTAACACCCATTTCTTGATTAGTTGGTATAATCAAGGGCCGGTCCAATGTTAGACATATCGGAAAGGCCCAGTTTTTTTCTTTTATATTTCAAATGCGGTGCTAAGGTAGAAACATCATACCAGTATACTATAAAAAGAACAGTATTGTGTGGCCAAATATTTCTACTATTGCACGGCCCCATAATAGGAAATATATTGAGGGCCTTTGAATACCCAAAAAAATAATAAAAATACACAAAAAATTGCAGTCTTATATTTGCAACATTAGGCTGGTGGAAAAATTAGGATAAAAGAACACGAAAAGATAGATCCTCAATGTAAAAGTTTAGAAAATATGGACCAAACAGTAATTCTAGTTACAATTTCCTATCCATCTATATTATTTCCAAAATTAAACACATTCTCTCTCACTCTCTTCTTCATAACCAGTGTTTGAAAAGTTGGCAAGTCGCCCAGTTCGACTCGAGAATCGGTATCCCCGTACCGGTTGCCAACCCGTGTCTAGAGAGAATCGATTCTAGCATAATATGCTAAACTGCCTGATTCGACTCGAGAATCGGCACCTCGTATCGGTTCTAGCATAATATGCTAAACCGCCCGTGTCTAGAGAGAACCGGTTCTAGCATAATATGCTAAACGCCCGTGTCTAGACAGAACCGGTTCTAGCATAATATGTTAAACCGCCCGTGTCTAGAGAGAACAGGTTTTAGTGTCCAGAGAGAACCGGGTGGTTTTAAAAGCGGGAATCGGTGACCCGTGTCTAGAGAGAACTGGGCGCGTTCTAGTGTCTAGAGAGAACTGGGCGGTTTTAAAGGCGGGAATCGGTGACCCATGTCCAGAGAGAACCGGGCCTGAATCGCCTGATGACCCGTGTCTAGAGAGAACAGGGCGATGATGACCTGTGTCTAAAGAGAACCGGGCGATGTAGGATAATTCCTAAACATCATTAAATGAAGACAAAATTTAAATATATTCTATTAATAGGCAACATATCCTCACATGTGGCGAGGCAGCATGATGGTTATGACTTCTGCTCTTTTCCTTGATGTACCAAGGTCCAATCCCCTTGGTGTTACATATTTTATTAAGTTTTATTGTATTGCGATTGATGTCCCAAGGTCAAATCCCCTTGGGTGTTACATATTATATTAATTTTTGTTATATAGCGGTTGATGTCCCAAGGTTGAATCCCCTTGAGTGTTACATATTATATTAATTTTTATTGTATAGCAGTTAATTTTTGTTGTAAATAATATAAAAAGCATAAAAAAATGAAAAATAAAAATCTTATTCTATTTGAAATCTCTCTCTTTCTACTAACAATCTCTTTCACTAAATTTATTCTAGAAACTTAAAAAATTAAATTTTTGAAAAATTAAAGTGTTATTTCGAAAATCTATAAGCATTTCATTAATTTTTACATTGATAACAAAATATTTTATTTTATTTATTAATTTTTACATTATAAATCATGTAATGTACTATTTTTCTTACAGTTGTCAATAATACATTTTAAATTAGATAATATTATAAAATATTTTGAATTTGTTATTATTTGTATAATAAAATAATTAAATATAAACTAATAATTATAATTTCAATATATAATATTTAATTAGTTAGGTTATAATAATTTTGGATTATAGTTAGTTAGATTGTAATAATTTGAGAAAGTATATAATAAGACAATTTACCTTTGATACAAGATGGTCACAATAAATCTTGACCATTGGATGTGAAATTGGGTGGCTGCATTTATTTCATTGACCAAGCTGAAAGTTCAAATGAATTTTTCTGGAACTTTATGATACACCCAAACTATCAGATTTCACATCAAATGGTTGTAAATAACTGTGACCTCCCCATTCCAAAGATAAATGGTCTAATTGTATACCATCCTTTTATTTTGTTAAAAAACCTATTTTATCTTCATCTATATATAGATGGACACCATATTTATCACTATTAGGACTTCATGACAATAAATTCCAACAAACTTTTAAAATTTAATTGAAGATAACTTTTAAAAGGCAAAAAATTAAAAAAAATAATAATTGGGAATTTGTATTCATCTTCTAAGTCCAAAGAACCTCGTTATTTGGAAACTGCTTTCTGATGTAAATTTTTCAAAAATGAAGTTCATGATATAAAAATTTAAAGTGCCATATTATTTATTTTTATTTGAAATAAATAATAAATAATAAGTAGGAACTATATTTTTATTAGTTTGTACATCATAAAAGCTTTATATAATTATATAAAGAAAAACAATTGTGTTTTAATTCCTTATTTTTAAATTATTCATTTTAAAAATCAGACTTTAAAAATTCAAAAAAAAAAATGTCATATTTTTATTTGTATGAAAGAATTTTATCCTTATACGCATGGAAAAACTAGTTGTTAGGACTCCATAAGAAGAAACTACTATTAAACATTAAGAGAAATTTTGTCCTTGCACGCATAGAAAAATATTAAAGAAAATTTTATTAATAGAGGATTGACACGTTAAATCTTTAGTTCGCTTATGAAGAACTCGCGATTTTCATTTGTACATGCATGAGGTCTTGACACCAAGAGACCAACCAACAATTTTACAATAGAAAATCTAAATAATAATAATAATAATGATTGAACAAATTTATCATTAGTCAGAATATGACTATATAATCTTTTAAAAGTATGATAATGTAAAAATGAATATGACTATAGAATATTTTAAAGTATAATAATGCAAAGATGATCCAACAAATTTTATGAGATTGTTGCAATCGGGTTACAATCGGAATGATTTCTTTATATACACTTGTGACGTCCTTGTCACAAAAGTAAATGATTTTTTTATATATACTTCACATTATTCTTTCACGAGTGTCTAATGGTAATTTCCACTGTTATAATTTTAATAACAGTATGACCCGGATCAGGTTTCAAATTGCTACCAAACTCATTTCGGAACAATAATTGATGCCAACAAATTCATTGAAATGTTCTTTCCCAACCAGCAGTCTTAACTGAATAAATTTCTTGTTACCTCAAAAACATTAAAAGACAAAAGGCAAGCAAAGCAGAATAACAGAGTTTTCTTCTTGCCAATGAGAGGTGATACCAAAGTTTTGGTAAAGGGAAATAACATATCTCAATATGGCAAACAAAAGTAGCTGAGCTCAAGCAGCTTCGGATGCCTGCAAAAATGCTTGTCCTGGTACACGCCAGCAGTCTTAACTGAAAATAAATTTCTTGTTACCTCAAAAACATTAAAAGACATAAGGCAAGCAAAGCAGAATAACAGAGTTTTCTTCTTGCCAATGAGAGGTGATACCAAAGTTTTGGTAAAGGGCAATAACATATCTCAATATGGCAAACAAAAGTAGCTGAGCTCAAGCAGCTTCGGATGCCTGCAAAAATGCTTGTCCTGGTACACGCCGTGCAAGAGCTCCATGGCATCCTAGAAGCTGGGACCAAAATAAGGAGGAAAATAAGCACAGCTTGGTTATATATCTACCAGTATCATGCACATGCATTGCACGTGATATGATTCCCTTAAGAAATAATCTTTTTTTTTATTACCCATCACCACCATCATCATTAGCATTAAAATATATAAAGATATTCATCAGCATCATCTTCATCATTATTAGTAGAGAAATGTATAAAAATATTTTGCTATCAAACAAAACCATTAAAATAAAAAGTGTATTTCACTTCGTTAAAATGAAAGTCTACTTCTGTTTTTCATATTTTATTTGAAACATTATTTGATGATAATGATTAGTTGTTGGCTTTGTACATGGTTTGCATGGTTACCTGAAAAGTGAGAACCCCCATGGTACACACTACAGAGAATATTGGGCTTTTGTACACTGTGGACTCAATTGCCCTCTTGCTGGCTTTTCTAGATGATCTCATCTCACTCTGTTAGATTATTGTATTACCACCTACAGGTGACTCTTTGCTCATTCTGTTAACACATGAAAATCGCTTCAAGTTCATAAAGGAGTCCTCCCAAGAGTGGACTCAGCCACCAGTTTCATGTGAAACTTAGTCATTTGGTGGTTTTGAAAGTATGCATTGCATCATTTACCCGAAAGAAAGAAAGCATGCAATTCGCTGTGTATGCTTACAACGCAGGGGGGTATAAGAGCCAAGTAAAGGTAAGTTGACTACTTCACTAAGTTTCTGGAATTTCCTAGGAATAATTTTCCCTTTATTTTTGCAGTCTTGTGGTGCATCCAAGACCTATAGGAAACTTTCCTACGAACCAAACTTCTTTGATGCAAATTCAATGGAAACTCCAACCAAACTTCTTTGATGGAAGACTCGAAAAATCCACACAAGTCGTAGAGGTCATTCACACAACAATATTGACAAGGGGATTCAATCAAATTTTCTTTGCGGGATAAAGCTTTTTAATTTCATGTCCGCAAAAAGTCATGGGGCTTTCAAGGAAGATATAACGATTGCAAAATAATATAATTATTTCCAACAAATGTATTATAAATAAGGAGGAATCTCACATAATGAAGATGGTATCACGGTTTTGAATGAAATACCACTATTGTTTCAAAAACATGAGAAAGAAAAGCTCTCTAAACAAAGAGCATGAAGAACCCCCCCTTTTCTCTTAAAGGACAATTGAAATGGTTACCTCTCTCTCTCCAACTTTCTTTCTCTTGCATGCGAATCAAAACCAATAATTCAACGATAAGCTCCATGCCAATAGGCAAGGGGGTCCAAGTCAAGCAGTTAAATTGGTGGATAAACTTGAGAGAAAGAGAAGCTAATTTCCAGTGAGAGAAAGTAGAAGCAAAACAAGTGATTGATTTTACATAAGATCTACAAAAAGCAACCAATATTCTTGAAGCCAATTTGGAAAAAAGGAACTGGGATTTCGTGTTCATCTGAGCACTACCCGAACCTGGAAAATAATTCAGTAAGTGATAAACACGTACTTTTTTTTACTTGCTTTTCCTCTTCAAAGCGCTATCCGAAACTTGGAAAACAATTTAGAGAGTGATAAAGGTGAACCCTCTTTAACTGCTTGACTTCGACTCATGTATGTCATGAGTCAACACTTTTGAGCATAAGATCTTCAAGTAATATGTTTGTTCCCAACTTTTGGACCATTGGAAGTTGAGCCCAATCATTCAGATTGTTGGCTTTCTGATTTCTGCAGCTAAACCTGATCTGACTGTTGGAACTCAATATTGTTCACTGCAATAGATGATTTCCTATGGGAAAAAGTTTGTATAAGGTTGCAACCTTATATTGTTGAGGAAAGGTGCATCTCAAAAATCCTACAGTGGAGCATTCCCACATAGGAAACCCTCCAACTAATCATCTCAACCTTGAGATGAATGGAAATGAAGAAAAAAAAAGAATTCCAAGTTCAAAAATAATACATCTTGTAAAAAGTCATCTGAACCGTCTGTTTTTTAGATTTTTAAGTGTTTAATGATATGCTCGATCTGTATCATTTTTAAAATTTTAAATTTTCTAACTGACGATAAAAAGAGATTTTGAAGCCATCATAAGAATTTCGATGCCCAAACGACATCTCTAAGTAACTTTTATAGGTACACCTGACTTCTACAGTAAAAGGAGGCAACCTTATACAAATCTTGCCCTTTTCTATGGAGGGAGAGTTTAACCATCCTGACCTGCTCTTCTATGTTTTAGACTTGCATGATTTTACATCTTAATTTATGTTTTTCTTTTGACAAATACATTCAATTTTTGTTTTCCAGGATGACTATATTGTATATTACTTATTTACTGCACTCTTTGAATATCCTTCTCAAATTAATCCAAAAAGTGATTATATTGCATCAGACTTGAAAAGTATTCTAGCATGTTGCACCTATGCGTATATCCTAGAGGGGTTTCAATTGTCTTTAAAGCAGTATACTATCTACATATATTTTAATCTACAAATATGAGACAGCTTGACTTCGTTTTAGCATCACGCAAAGCCATGAATCAACACCACGTAAAGTTCAATTTTTGTTTATTAGACAAATCATGTGACAAACTTTTGTATTTTTATTCTTTCAAATTTTTTAGAAAATAATATTTAATTGTAAATAAATAATTCGTTCCCTAACATTATTTTAAATTAATTTTAATTATTTTAAAAAATAGTATAATTGAAATTAATATAAAAAAGAAAGAAAAAACACAAAAGCAATTAACCAAAATTACAAAAAAAATAAAAATTCCTTCAATGTTTTTCTTTTCTGCATTTTCAGTTTCCAATTTTTAAAATAATACTTACTTGAAAGTAAATAATACATTTACTAATACAAGTAAAAATAATTTTATTTAAAAAAAACAAGATAGCAATTAACCGTAAATATAAATTAGAGATGTAAATAATGTAATTGAATTCAACTAACAATACCAAAAACATTAAATGTAATTGAACTTACTTTTACAAAAATAATTACCTCATAATGCAAGTCATAAATAAAATTATAATCATATTATGAAGTTTGTGATATATTTTTGCATTTTTATTTTTTTGAATTCTCTAAAATAATATTTTCTTACAAGTAAATAACAAATTTACTAATATGATTAATAATAATTTTGAAGTAGGTTATAGAATAATCTTCCATATATTAAGCATGAGGAGAACGTGGCAAGCAAGAAATTTATCAAGGTCTGGAGTTTGGTTTGGAAGGCCAATAACGAGTATTAAAATAGGTTCCGTGGTTGGCTTCACCTATAAAAAAAAATTTCTGCTGGTAGTAGTGCACACGCACTCAAAGATGTCACTCAAAAGATTTTTTGTATGTCACGTGTAACCAACAAAAAAAATGTCTCTCTATTGTATGTTCCCTCACATGTTGTATGATCCCTCAACTAAAAATCACTATCTTATTTTTTAAACCAATTTTTAACATTTTTATTTCCAAATACTCAGACAGTCACATAAATAAATTTATTTTAAATCGATAAATGTGATTACATCTATCTCATGAGGGGATCATAAATACAACTTGCTCCTAGGAGCACAACAAAACATTATTTTTTGCTCAAAACGTTTCAACTTTCGACCATCAATGTTAATATGCTAAAACCATACTCCCCATAAAATTACTTTTACTTCTTCCAAAACAACGAATATGTTTTTGCTAAAAGAGAATATACTCTTTTATCATTTTAATGGAGTACATTTCATAAATTTTATAAATTATTAAAAAACTACAATAAATTTTAATTTTTATATGAAACATCTATTTTTGAAAATTTAATTCATGTAACTAATAATAATAA